TCCCAGAATCCCCCAGCCAGCTTTGCTGGCTGGGGAATTCTGGGAGTTGAAGTCCACAGGACTTAAAGTCACCAAGGTTGAGAAACACTGGTTTATAGGATGGCTTGTCGCCCCGAATGTTGGCCGTGCCGGATTAAACGTCCAAGGCAGAGGCCCCTGGGCTCTGCATTCATCTTGAAAAGCCTGCCCTGCAAGGCGGCATAGCCCTCATCTTGCCCTCTTAGCTACCCTGCCCCCTATTAGTTCTGTAGACCAGGCCTCGGCAGGATAAGAGGATAACACTGTTGGAAGGGACCTTGGAGGTCTTCTAGTCCAGCCCCCTGCTCAAGCAGGAACGCCTACACCCATGATGGCGAACCGGTGACACGCATGCCACAGGTGGCACGTGGAGCCCTCTCTCCGGGCACGCGACCCGTCTCCCAGCTGAGCTCCACCGTGCATGAGCACACGCCCCCTGCTGGCCAGCTGATTTTTGGGTCTATGCCAGGCATGCGGGAGCCGCGCAGTCATGCGCGGGGTGGTGTTGGTGGTGGTGCACGGACATGTGCTGGGGTCGGGTGAGTGTGGTGTGGGGGCACGCCCCATTTTTGGTCCCAGGAGGTTTCAGGGAGGCCTGCTAGGCCCAGAACAGGACATGGCGGGGGTTGCGTGCATGCGCAGGGGGGGCGGGGCGCATTGCATTATGGGTGTGGGCACACGCATGCGCTGTCGCCCGCCCGGACACGTTTTCAGCGCAGGAGGACAAAAAGATTAGCCACCACTGTCCTATACCATTCCACTTGGGAGGGGCATTTGATGGGAACGATTCTGTTTGAATTATTTCCATCCTTCTGCAGGCTTATCTTGCCTTGCTGGAATTATTCTTTGCTCCTGTCACTCATTATCTTGCCCTGCTGGAGTGATTGATTGCAGTCAGTCTGCTTACAGCATTTGGACTGGAGTATCTGCAGGTTTGTGGGAGTTTTTTTTTCTCCAGGCCGGAGAATAAAAGGGGCGTTGGGGGCAAGTTGGTGCCAATAAAGGGACTCACACAGGTTCTTTGTGTTGCCTTCGTGCCACGCCCCGGTTCATCACAGGAACCCTTGACTTGGTGATTCTGATGACAAGTTAATGTGTATATCTGCGATTCGCTAGAAGGGAATATTTGTAACTCTGTGGAGTCCCTGATGCTCTCTGAGCTTGGAGGTTTGCTTGTAGATGTTCCATGACCCAACTTGGTAACATCTTCAGTGCTAGAAGAGAGTGGGGTTTGCAGAGAGGAGGAGGAGGAGGAGGAGCGTGGGTTTTGCTCTCTATTTATATA